TTTTGTCACATATCTGGAGATAAGAAGTCTGAGTGTTCAGGGCATCAGCTCTAGGAGAAGGTCCTTCTTTGTTCCTTCAGCTTCTAGTAGCTTCTGGCAATACTTGAAATTCATGGGCTTGTATGAATGCATCTGCTTTCGCCATCACATGGATCTGTGTCCCCTAGTGTGTGTCTCTCTGTGTCCACCCCATTTTATAAGACGCCACTCAGAGGATTAAGTTTAGGACCCACACTACTATTGTATGACATCATTAACATAATAAAAGAAAACGCCTGGTTCTGAACAGGGTCACATTCACAGATACAGGGGTTAGGACTTCAGCATATGTTTCTGGGGGGCACAATTCAATCCATTTCACTCACTTTGGGCTTTAAAAAGTAATGGGTTATTTTATATGGAAAGGAAAGAGAGCTTGGATAAGCAAAGTACAACTGAAGAAGAAGAACAAGGTAGGAAGTATCACACTCCCAGATCCCAAAACCCAATATACAGACACAGTAGTCAGAACAGCCTTGTATTGGTATCATGACAGGCACATAAAACTGTGGAACAGAATTGAGAACCCAGAAATAAATCCATCCACCAATGGTCAGCTGATCTTTGACAAAGGACCAAAATCCATTAAATGTGAAGCATAAAACTATAAAGTCCATCAAAGGAAAAATAGGGTCAAAGTTAAGGGTCCTAATTTATGGCATAAACAGACTATCAAGCATAACCCAAAATACATAAACAGCAGAAGATAAACTAGATGATTGAGACCTTCCGAAAATTAAATTCTTATGTACATCAAAAGACTTCTGTAAAAGAGTAAAAAGAGAACCAAGTGAATGGGAAAAAAGTTCAGATAAGTCAAAGGACTTATTTCTACAATTTACAGAAAGCTCCAGCACCTCCACATTAAAAAGACAAACAATCCAATTTAAAAATGGGCAGAACACATGAACAGACATTTCAACAAAGAAGATTTTCAGGCAGCCAACACACAGGAGAAGAAATATTCATAATCATTAGCCATTACTCACTGCTGTCGAGTCGAGTCGACTCATAGTGACCCCTCCTTGGGTTTCCAAGGTGATATCTCTACAGAAGTAGAGTGCCCAGTCTTCCTTCCAAGGAGTGGCTGGTGGCTTTGAACTGCCAGCTTTCTGGTTAGCAGTCAAATGCCTTAAGCACTATTCCACCAGAGCTCCCCATTAGCCATTAGAGAGATGCAAATCAAAACAATAACGAGATAGCATCTCATCCCAGCTCTAATAGCAAAGTTCAACAAAACAGAAAATAATAAATGCTGGCAAGGATGTGGAGAGATCAGGACTCTCATGCACTGCGAGTGCACTATAAAATGATACAACCACTGTGGGAAACAGTCTGATGAATCCTTAAAAGTATGGA